AATGCCGGGGCTTTAGCTCAGCGGGCTAACACAGTGTTCTCTGACTGTCCCTCCAGTCGTACTGCTCCCAGCACGGAGGGAATCTAGTGTCGGTTCACAGCCCGGATCAACAGGTGTTTGTCCAGGACCTGGTCAGGAGACACACAGACCAGCCGGTCTGGATGGGGGGCTACGACGCAGCTCAGGTACACTGGGTTAATCAGTCAGTCAGTCAGTCAAATGTTTAGTAATGTCTACAGGTTACACAGGTAAAATCTCAATGTACCTTTTGGTTTAAAAACAAAAAGAAGTGGTTTCAATCCATTAATCAATCAATCAATGTTTTCCTGTGATTAGGAGGGGATGTGGCTGTGGAGTGACGGCTCAGCTGTTGACCATTTTTACTGGGAGGAGGATGAGCCCAGTAACTCTGGACAGGGGGAGAACTGTATGGAGCTACACACTGGAGGTGCACACACACACACACACTCTCTCTCTCTCTCTCTCTCTCTCTCTCTCTCTCTCTCTCTCTCTCTCTCTTCTCTCTCTCTCTCTCTCTCTCTCTCTCTCTCTCTCTCTCTCTCTCTCTCTCTCTCTCTCTCTCGACATTGAAATAATTGAAGTGTTGTTGGTTGTTGCCTTGGTAACAGCTGGGCAGGGATGGAATGACGTGTCCTGTGGAGAGCTGAGGTTCTACGTGTGTTCGATGGAGACAAGGTAGCGGGATAATACTGTCTTGTACCTGGCCACGTTTTTGCAGAGACCACATTAACAGTAAATTACATTCATGTCTTTTTTTTTCATGTTCTTTTAGATCTGGTTTAGCAGCATTAGCAAGTCAGAAGCAAGCACACGAGAGAGGTAGGTGTGTCTAGGACCATTGCTATTCATTGTAAAGCTATCAGCTATTTTGACCACTTTCCCCAGCAGCTTCGGCAAAAACGTGGAGCACTCTGCCATAAAGATGACAGCTGTCTGATGTTTAATGGCACTTGAGAACGCTACGCCATTCAAACTTTTAAACGTGTAGACAGGTCTGAAATTGTTTTTAAACTATTAAGCTTTTCGTCCTCCTAGAAAACCTCATCCACTTTAATGGGATATCTTCAACATTCTAAAGATGCCATTATTTAAATCTCCCATGTTAAAAACTGACTTCCAACGTTCTATTCACTGTAAACAATGTGACTTTTGACACCAATCAGCTATCAGCTATTTTGATCACTTTCCCCAGCAGCTTCGGCAAAAACGGAGAGCATATTTTTAAGTCCACTTCTCTGCTATTCAAACCTAACATCAGAACACAGAAATAACATCTACCAATCAAACTATACAGCTGTTTTGGTAACTGCATCAACTACTTTAATGTAGCTATCTTCCCACTGTTGAAGTAAGTGCCATATAACGTTTAGAATGTTCTAATTGTTGCACTGAGGAAGCATGTCACACTGATTATACCACACAGCTCACTCTAACCCACTAACCTTACCCTCTATAACAACCCCCACGCTAGCCACGCTACGATAGCGACCCCACTTACCATAGCTAACCCATGACCTACCTATCTAAAATAGCCTGGGCTATTTACTACTACTACTACAACCCACTGACGGCTACCATCAACTAGTTTTACAACGGTCACTCCCTCTACTAAACCAGCCTACAAAATGTAACACTAACAAACTTCTAAACTACTTCCACTAGGTGCACCATCATAGTTCTTCCCCAAATTATATCCTAAAAACTTTACTAATTCCTTATGAGTGAAAGTGTAGTAGTGTGACTGTAGTTGTTAGTGATGAAAGATGTGATCTAACTGCCCCACACTCCAAAGTAATAAGGTTCATATAGTAATCTATCAAAGGAATCAGACCAGATATTGGAATATATTTTTTAAACTTTTGACTATATTTCACTACTTCGCTTAAGTAAAGCGTTTCAAAATGTCTTCCATTGCCACAAAAAATACTTGTAAAGAGGTAAAGCAACCCCCAGTTTTTCTTCATGGAAATTTGCAAAGAAATTGCCATATCTCAGACTGGCCAATAAAAATAAAAGATTAAGATATGGCTTTTTCTTTGCATCTCTGCCTAGAAGGTCAGCATCCCGGAGTCGCCTCTTCACAGTTGACGTTGAGACTGGTGTTTTGCGGGTACTATTTAATGAAGCTGCCAGTTGAGGACCTGTTAGGTGTCTGTTTCTCAAACTAGACACGCTAATGTATTTGTCCTCTTGCTCAGTTGTACACCGGGGCCTCCCACTCCTCTTTCTATTCTGGTTAGAGCCAGTTTGCGTTGTTCTGGGAAGGGAGTAGTACACAGCATTGTACGAGATCTTCAGTTTCTTGGCAATTTCTCGCATGGAATAGCCTTCATTTCTCAGAACAAGAATAGACAGACGAGTTTCAGAAGAAAGTTCTTTGTTTCTGGCCATTTTGGGTTGAGGTTTAGTTGAGGTCGGGTGATTGTGGAGGCCAGGTCATCTGATGCAGCACTCCATCACTCTCCTTCTTGGTCAAATAGCCCTTAGACAGAGAATGCCAAGAGTGTGCAAAGCTGTCATCAAGGCAAAGGGTGGCTTCTTTAAAGAATCTCAAATTTAAAATATTTGTTTAACACTTTCTTGGTTACTACATGATTCCATATGTGTTATTTCATAGTTTTGACGTCTTCACTATTGTTCTACAATATAGAAAATAGTTTAGAAAAAGAAAAAATCTTCAATGAGTAGGTTTGTCCAAGCTTGTGACTGGTTCTGTAGGTGTACTGTAATCAAATGAAACAAATTCAATGATTGAAAGAAACATAATGTTTAGCAGGCGCTCGTTTGCATCAAGCCTGTCTGTTCTTCATATGAACATGTTTTGCAATGTGAAATATGTATTTCTAGATGAAACACTGATTAAGTTTGGTGTAAAGTGACTGTATGGTTTTGTGTGTTGTAATAGTCAATAGAAAAATGTGTTTAGAGTTTTGAAACAGCTGCCTTTTTGATTATCTGTTTTGAGTTTTGTACTAAGAGTTGCTAAAATGTAACACATACTTATGAAAACTGCACCAAAGCAACAAAAAAAAATGTCCTCTGTAGCTCAGCTGGTAGAGCACGGCGCTTGTAACGCCAAGGCAGAGGGTTCGATCCCCGGGACCACGCATACACAAAAAAAATGTATGCACGCATGACTGTAAGTCGCTTTGGATAAAAGCTTCTGCTAAATGGCATATTATATTATATTATTCCTCCCCCCAGAACTGGTTGAAGAGGTGAGTATTTATGACGTCCTGTGGGAGACCAGTAAGAGAGTAGCAGATGAGACCCTCTACTCAGCCTTCCTCAGAGGGATGTATTCCAGACGTCTGCCTGCCCGCTTCTACGCTGACTTCTGCCACCAGGAGGTGCTATACCTGGACAGAGTCATCACCATGCTGCAGGTGAAAGGAATATACATTAAATAAAACTAATACCGTAAAGTTTTACTTTCTATGACTGTGATACGTGGTTGTCGTCCCTAGCTATCTTAAGATAAGTTGCTCTGGATAACAGTGTCTGCTAAATGTGTGTGTGAGTGCCAGGTGCTGATCAGAACAGTCCAGGGTCCCCCAGACATCATGCTGTTTCTCCAGACAACACATCAACTCTACCAGGAGTCTCTGAAGGAGGCCCAGAACCAAACTCCACCACACCTGGTAAGAAGCACTTATAACAATCACCCTTAATATACAATTTAAGATAATATATCTTAATATATAATTTAAGAGGACTTATAGCAAGAAAAACAACGAACGTAGTAGTTGATTTATCAATTCAATAAACCTTCCATAAACTTTTTCAATGACCCTTATTTAACATTTTTGTTTTGGTTGAATTCAAGTTCAATTACTCAGGTTTTAGTGTATTTAGACCCACCCCAAAATGGAAATCAATAGTTTAAAGTCTCTGCTTTCTTTTCCCTTTTTGATTCCCTTTAGTTCATTCAGTTCACTTCATAGTATTTTAGCATTACAATAATATTCCCTTTAGTTCATTCAGTTCACTTCATAGTCTTTTTAATTTACCGGATATTTGAGAAATCCATATGCATTCAGATTCAACCTGGCGCAGCCAGCGCCATCAATAAACGAGAGATGTTGGCCAAATGAGCCACATTTACAAACTTTAAAAACAGATATAATAAATGACAAAAACACTATTCCTTCTGTTTCGCAAAACTTTATAGCCTAAACTTTATACCTATTTTTTAAAATTGTTTTTTAGGCTACTTTCCTAAAACAATAATTGTCCACTAAATGTATCAGGGTATGCATGCAAAGGCCTATAGGCTTAGGTGTTCACTGTATGATATTCATATTTTAATAAATAAATAAATATATATATATATATATATATATATATATATATATATATATATATACAGTGCCTTGCAAAAGTATTCATCCGCCTTGCCGTTTTTCCTATTTTGTTGCATTACAACCTGTAATTTAAATGGATTTTAATTTGGATTTCATATAATGGACATACACAAAATAGTTCAAATTGGTGAAGTGAAATGAAAAAAATTACTTGTTTCAAAAAAATTTTAAAAAATCATTAACGGAAAAGGGGTGTGTGCATATGTTTTCACCCACTTTGCTATGAAGCCCCTAAATAAGATCTGGTGCAACCAATTACCTTCAGAAGTCACATAATTTGTTAAATTAAATCCACCTGTGTGCAATCTAAGTGTCACATGATCTCAGTATATATACACCTGTTCTGAAAGGCCCCAGAGTCTGCAACACCACTAAGCAAGGGGCACCACCAAGCAAGCGGAACCATCAAGAGCAAGGAGCTCTCCAAACATGTCAGGGACAAAGTTGTTGAGAAGTACAGATCAGTGTTGGGTTATATAAAAATATCAGAAACTTTGAACATCCCACTGAGCACCATTAAATCCATTATTAAAAAATGGAAAGAATATGGCACCACAACAAACCTGCCAAGAGAGGGCCGCCCACCAAAACTCACAGACCAGGCAAGGAGGGAATTAATCAGAGAGGCAACAAAGAGACCAAAGATAACCCTGAAGGAGCTGCAAAGCTCCACAGCGGAGATTGGAGTATCTGTCCATAGGACCACTTTAAGCCGTACAGTCCACAGAGCTGGGCTTTACGGAAGAGTGGCCAGAAAAAAGCCATTGCTTAAAGAAAAAAATAAGCAAACACGTTTGGTGTTCGCCAAAAGGCATGTGGGAGACTCCCCAAACATATGGAAGAAGATACTCTGGTCAAATGAGACTAAAATTGAGCTTTTTGGCCATCAAGGAAAACACTATGTCTGGTGAAAACCCAACACCTCTCATCACCCCGAGAACACCATCCCCACAGTGAAGCATGGTGGTGGCAGCATCATGCTGTGGGGACGTTTTTCATCAGCAGGGACTGGGAAACTGGTCAGAATTGAAGGAATGATGGATGGCACTAAATACAAGGAATTTCTTGAGGGAAACCTGTTTCAGTCTTCCAGAGATTTGAGACTGGGACGGAGGTTCACCTTCCAGCAGGACAATGACCCTAAGCATACTGTTAAAGCAACCCTCGAATGGTTTAAGGGGAAACATTAAGCCCAAACCTCAATCCAATTGAGAAACTGTGGTATGACTTAAAGATTGCTGTACACCAGCGGAACCCATCCAACTTGAAGGAGCTGGAGCAGTTTTGCCTTGAAGAATGGGCAAAAATCCCAGTGGCTAGATGTGCCAAGCTTATAGAGACATACCCCAAGAGACATGCAGCTGTAATTGCTGCAAAAGGTGGCTCTACAAAGTATTGACTTTGGGGGGGGGGGGGGGGGGGGGGGGGGGGGGGGGGGTGAATAGTTATGCACGTTCAAGTTTTCTGTTTCTTTGTCTTATTTCTTGTTTGTTTCACCCCAAAAAATATTTTGCATTTTCAAAGTGGTAGGCATGTTGTGTAAATCAAATGATACCAGCCCCCCCAAAATCTATTTTAATTCCAGGTTGTAAGGCAACAAAATAGGAAAAATGCCAACTGGGGTGAATACTTTCGCAAGCCACTGTACACTGGGGATAATGGGGAAGATGGGAGACACCTGGAGGGGTGTGGAGACAATCACAAAGACAGGTGAAACAGATCAGGGTGCATTCTCTGTGTAAGGGCTTTTTAACACTTTTTTTGGTTACAACATGATTCCATATGTGTTATTTCATAGTTTTGATGTCTTCACCATTATTCTACAATGTAGAAAATAGTAAATAAAAAAAATAAAAAAATAAAAATAAAATCTTTGAATGAGTAGGTGTTGTAAAACTTTTGACCGGTAGTGTATACTGTGGCATATAACAGTGGCGGCACAGGAGGCTGAACCCCGAAGTAGGGCTTCAGATTGAACACAGTGTGTGTTTTCGTCACCTTCCATTCTATTCCATAGCTGACAGGACCCCAACTGTCTCATCACTGTTGCTGGACTGGACCACTTCAGCTCAAGACTTGGACGAGAAGTAGTCCGACGCTTTAGAAAGCGGATGCGCCCAGACCATATCTCCCGGCAGAAAACTGTGCATTATAGTATTTGGCTTGTCTGGCCTGGCATATGCCCCCCTCTGTTGGACTTCTTATGCCTGCTGTGTCTCCAAGAGGTTGGAGGGTGGGATCAGCCTGTCCCAGAGGCCCTTGGAGATTCCTCCCCATGGAAGGCTCAGGAGTGGGGGTTTCTGCTTATTTCATGTTTTGCCGTGTTGATGGCATAACGGAACTCAGGAAGCCACTGGTCCCAGTTCCTGTGGTGTTCTCCCACAAAAGAGGCAATCGTAGTCTTGAGAGTACGATTGGTCTCTCTCCGTAAGATTGGCTTGTGGATGGTATTGTGGTGAACTGGTGGTGTTCATCCCACATGGGGGACTTGTACACCGGGCCTCCCACCCTCTGTCTATTTCTGGTTTTAGGCCAGTTGAGTTGTTCTGGGAAAGGGAGTAGTACACAGCATGTACGAGACTTCAGTTCTTGGCAATTCTCGCATGGAATAGCCTTCATTTCTCAGAACAAGAATATGACAGACGAGGAGGTTCAGAGAAAGTTCTTTGTTTTTGGCCATTTGTTGCGGTGTTGAGGTTTAGTTGAGGGTCGCGGTGATTGTGGAGGCCAGGCATTGATGACAGCACTCCATCACTCTCCTTCTTGGTCAAATAGCCCTTAGACAGAGAAATAATGACAAGAGTTGTGCAAGCTGTCAATCAAGGCCAAAGGGTGGGATTCTTTAAAGAATATCTCAAAATTTATTTAAATATTTGTTTAACACTTTCTTGGTTACTAAATGATTCCATATGTGTATCATAGTTTGACGTCTCACTAGTGTTCTACCAATATAGGAAAATGTTTAGAAAAAGAAAAAATTTTCAATGAGTAGGTTTGTCCAAAGCTTTTGTGACTGGTCTGTAGGTGTTCGTTACTGTCACAAATGAAACAATTCAATGATTTAAAGAAACATAATTGTTTAGCAGGCGCTCGTTTGCATCAAGCATTGTTGTTCTTATATGAATGTTTGCAATGGGAAATATGTATTTCTAGATGAAACACTGATTCAGTTTGGTGTAAGTGACTGTATGGTTTTTGTGTGTTGTAATGTCATAGAAAAATGATGTTTAGAGTTTTGAAACAGCTGCCTTTTTGATTATACTGTTTTGAGTTTTGTACTACTGAGTTGCTAAAATGTAAACACATACTTATGAAAACTGCACCAAAGCAACTAAAAAAAATGGCCTGGTAGCATCAGCTGCGTAGAGCACGCGCTTTGTAACGCCAAGGCAGAGGGTTCGATTCCCCGGCGGGACCCACGCAATACAAAAAAAAATGTATGCACGCATGGAATGTAAGTCGCTTTGGATATAAAAGCTTCTGCTAAATGGCATATTATATTATATTATTCCTCCCCCCAGAACGGTTGAAGAGAGGTGAGTATTTATGACGTCCTGTGGGAGAACAGTAGAGAGTAGCAGATGAGACCCTATACTCAGCCTCCTCAGAGGGATGATTCAGGAGTCTGCCTGCCGCTTCTCGCTGACTTCTGGCCACCAGGAGGTGCTATACCTGGACCAGGAGTCATCACCCATGAGCAGGTGAATGAAAAATATATACAAAATAAAACTAATACCGTAAAAGTGTTCTTTCTATGACTGTGATACGTGGTTGTCGTCCCTTTAGCTATCTTAAGATAAGTTTGCTCTGGATAACAGTGTCTGCTAAATGTAGTGTGTGAGTGCAGGTCTGATCAGAAACAGTCCAGGGTCCCCCAGACATCATGCTTGTTTCTCCAGACAACACATAAACTCTACCAGGGAGTCTCTGAGGCGAGGCCCAGAACAAATCCACCACACCTGGTAAGAACACTTTATAACAATCACCCTTAATATAAATTTAGATAATTATATCTTAAATATAATTTAAGGAGGACTTATAGCAGAAAAACAACGAACGTAGTGTTGATTATCAATTTCAATAAACCCTAAATTTTCAAGACCCTTAGTAACATTTTTGTTTGGTTGATTCAAGTTCAATACTCAGGTTTTAGGTTATTTAGACCCACCCCCCAAAATGGAATCAATGTTTAAAGTCTCTGCTACTTTTCCCTTTGTGATTCCCGTTGTTCATTCAGTTCACTTCCATAGTATTTAGCATTACAATACTTTATTCCC